AATTCCAATTTTTACTATTAAGTAGTAAAATAAAATGACTCTTGCAATTCATTCTTAATTAAATTATCATTTAGCACTAAACAAGGACAACTATTTTATTGTCTATTAAGAATTTTCAATTTGGGTGATCCAAGTAGACTTGGCAATTCATGTATTCGTGTTGTGTAAAATACTAATAATTCATATATTTATACTATGTTTTATATGAAAATCACGTATCACAATTCATATCGATACGAAAATATAAAATACATTTTTTTTAATTTTATTAAACTTATTTATGATTTTTGCTAAAATTTTAAACCGTATCACTTTCATGTCTTTTGTTTGTATTATTTTTGTGTTGTGTCACCATGTCGTGTTTAAAATTGTCATATCTAGATCCAAGCCATGAAGGAAATTACAGTTTTATCCACCTCCTCTGATCCAACGATATGCATTAAATTCATACCACATAATATTAGAATTTATTAAATTGAATTAGCAAATTAAAAAAAAAAATTAGGCAATACTCCCTTTAGCCCGAATTTAACTTTTTTTCTTTAATAAAGTTATAAGTAGAAGAAAATTTATCATTATAATTAAAGTATGGGGGCTTCTAAATACACCATTAAATTTTCTCTATATAACCAAAAATTTTCTTCCAAAAATACCCATACACCAAATGCCAATTTTAACTTTTAGTAAATGATAAAAATATCTTTAATAGCTTATGCACCTAAAAGCCATCCCGTATTTCTTGAAAATGGATTTCTGAGTATTATATTGTATTCTCAAAAATCCATTTTTGAGAAAGCAACATAATTCTTAGAAATGAATTACCAAAAACAAAACACACCTCTCAAAAATCCATTTTTGAGACTTGTATTGCTTTCTCGAAAATGGATTTCCAAGAGTCATCATGTACTTTTGGAAATCCGTTTCTGAGAATACATAAATTTTTTTAAAATATATATTTAATTATAAACTTTTGATAACAAAAAAATTGAGATCTCTAATCTTTGGGCCACTGAAAAATATCATCAATAAACTAGCAAATCTGACAGTAAGGATTGGTAGCTGAAAAATTAGGTACTATTAGATTTGTCAATCTATCAATGACATTATCAATGATAATGTTCTATAGGGTGTTCAAGCTCGAACTAGCATGCATGCATACATATGAGTCATCAATGTGCCCATTCTTATTTGATCATATGTGCGAATGGAAGAGAATAAGTTCTCAAGTATGCATGGAATAAAAATGCCTTTGTCTTGAGCCTAGAAAACGAAGAAAATGATTTCAGTTTATTCCATGCATATTGAGAACATTGATTTCAATTCCATTCATAAATATAATCAAGTAAATGGATTCATAAGCGCATAATTAAGATTTTCAATTAAAAGTGACATTAAGCTTTTCGGATATAGAATCTAAGATCCAAGAAACCTCATATCTTCTCAGATATCTATTTCCAAGAAGACTCAACTTTGAGTCTTCTTGAAAATGAATATCTAAGAAGATCCAAGAAGGTTTGATGCTTCTCGGAAATGGATATCCAAGAAGCTTTGAAGCTTTTCGAAAATGAATATTCAAGAATTCTTAAAGCTTTTCAGATATCTATTTCTAAGAAATTTTAAAACATTTGAAATATTCATTTCCCAAAAACTTGATTTCAAGATGTAAAGAGAGAAGAAAAGAGAAAGTGTAGGAATGAAAAATAAAAAGTTAGAGGTAAGGTGTATTTAGTAGAAATAAGAAAATGAGTTTTGAATTTGGGGTGTATATAGAAGTGGGTTGTATATAGCATTAAATTGAGTACATTTAGAATTTCCCTTAAAATATTACATTTAAATAACAAAAATCCATGAATTAAATCAAATAAATCAAACATACAAATTAACCAACCTTTGCATAATTAAAAAAATTCATAAATTTGAACCAACTGTGTCGGTTTGAGTCATCATTGCATCTATATATTTCCCATCTTCTACTTAATTTGACTTAATTCATTGGATTTAAATTTATATCTTCAGTTTTTCTTTGGAGCAAAATTTTTAGACAAAGTTTAGCAAAGAGTTGTACAGCATTTGTTGGCCTTTTTGTGCAACCAATTAAAATTTATACTACATTAATAAATATTATAATTATGATGGCAAAATGCCTATAATATACGCTTTTTAGAATGAAAAATCATAGCCAAGACCATAGTGAAGAGCAAAGTATAACGGCCACTACTGAAGCAATCAATTCCATTTTTTATCCAATTCTTGGTTGAGACAACCAGTTGACAAATCTCTATGATTTTGTTCACCCTTAAATAGCTTGCCTTTTTTTCTTTTTACCTGTTAAATGTTTCAAAGAGGGAATGAATTATATGAATAACTAGACGAGTTTGTTAAGTTTGATGTGTAGGGACGGGTGTCAGACATTAGATGAGAGGAAGAAGAAAAGAAAGAATGAGGGTTCATATTCTTTAAAGATAATTATAAGATGATTTTGATTTATAAGAATAAATTGTAATCAACTGTAATCTCTTATGTCTCTAAATTATTGATTTAGAATATATAAGCAAAATTATTGATTTAGAAAATATTTTTAAAATAAATTATAATCAATTGTAATCTTTAATGTCTCTTTTATTACTACTTCTCATATATTATCTGCATAACTTGTATAGATAAAGATTTTATGTACTCTTTCAGATAAAGTCAGAAGATTAACAATGTGGCTTTTTTATTTTTCATTTTTTTTTTTGGTAAATGTAAGCATTATGACCAAAACCAGAAAATAATATATTATTTTATTTTATTTGTGAAATTTAAAGACATGACCTCATTTGTTGTTGATATGCGTTTTTTGTTTATGAATTACAAAAAGAAAGTCCTTTGAGAGATTTTTCTCAGTAAGATAAATTATCAAATACATTTATAATAATTTTTTAAATTTTATAAATAAAATTAGGATATATTTAAATTTTTAATTAAAAAATAAAATGTGTAAGTTTTTTAACTTCATTTGTGGAGTTAAAATTTTCACTTGAGAATGTATCAAATAATTTCTCTTCATAGATAAATTACAAAAAAAAAAAGTTAAATTTTAATAAGTTCTTGGTTGCCTTTTATGTGATTGTGACAAAATTATCAAAAAAATTAAAGTTCCACTTAAATATTTGATCCAATATTTTATGTAATTTTAAAAAATTATAAAAAAAAAGGTTGTACTTTTTTTTTTTGTAATTCTCATAAATTTAAAAAGATTACTCTTTAATAACTTTTTTTCATTTTATTTTCCCATAATTTTGATAAATTATAAAAAAAAAAAAGTCTACTCTAATAATTTTTTCATTCCAATTTTTATAATTTTAGCAAATATACATAAAAGACCAACATTTTAATAACTCCTTTTTTTTTTTTTTACTTTTCTTTAGTCTAAGTAAGGATGAGATAGAAGAGAGCGTAACTATAAGAAGAGAATGAGGCCTTAACAGAGAGAACATCATAACAAAATAAATATATATATATATATATATGAAAATAGATGATGAAAAAGTTAAAACTAAAAATATTGTTTTAAAAGTAAAAAAAAAAAAACAAAAATATGATTTACGTTGATTTTTCTTTTTTTATCTTTCATTTTTATCTCTCTTTTTATATTTTTAAATTTTTAATTCTTTTTTAAAAAATTATAGTTTGTAATAAATTAAAAAAGAAAGAAAATTGGTTAATCAATTCGCTTTTCATTTATCTTCGTAAAAATTGTAACTCTTTAACATAATATAAAAATATTTATGTGTTTTATTATTAAAAATTCTACAGCCACAACGAACACTTATTAATATATATATATATATATATTTATATATATAAATTTATATTTGATATATTATTTGTATATAAATTTTATACACTATTAAATATTATATTATACTATTAAATTAATAAATAAATATCAATTTTTAAAATAAATATATAAAAAATTAATATTTTTTAAAAATTTATTCATTAATGAGATAATATTTTTTGATTCATTACATTAATTAAATAATATCATTCAATTCACTTATAATATGTAAAATATATACATTGATATACATTAAATATAAACCCTATACGTATATAATTTCCTGATAAGTTTATTTCCTGTTCATCCTTAATGTGTCACGTCAGCTGTTTAAGACTAATTTAAGCGGTGTGTTTTACAGTTTTATGCCTTTTTTTTTTCCTTTTTGATGATTTTTCCCATTTCTCCTATGTAAACTGTTACTTTATTTTTTTTTTCTGTGTTTTCAAGATTGCTTCGGTTTCTTGCCGTCTTCTTGTCCTATGTCTTAGTTTCCTTACCTCATTTGGATTGTTATTTGTTCTTAATGTTTGTTTCAAGTCTTTATCTTTCCTGTTAACTATCAATTTATAATTTATTTTTTTTTAATGGGGGAGGATTAAGAGAAGGCGAACGATGGAGTGTTGGGGGAAATAGTTTTGGGTAGGTTTTGGTGCTATTTTGAAGAGAAAAGACAAGTTTTGTCGATTAGGAACGGTCAAATTTCTGTTCAATTGGTGAGGTTTTTTCTTTAGGAAAAAATTTTCATTTTATTATTTAAAAATCAATAAAAATTTTTTACTATTTTATTTACTAGTGATAAATACATTTTTAATTAAATCTGATTGTTACATTTTGGTTGTTACATAAAGAACTAGTTTGTGTGTGAGACATTTCATATATATATATATAGACATATCACACTAAGTTCTTAACTATAAATGCCTTTTTTTCCAGTGGTTCGTCGGTAAAAATGCCTTTAGTCGCCAATTTTTTGAACTTGCTCCAATGCACTCCGACTTTTATTAAAGAAGAACTGTGTTTGTTATTTATTTGTAATTTTTTTTTTTTGTATTACCCATCGAACAAACTTTTTTATTTTTTATTTTTTGAGATAAGCTTTTTTTATTTTTCTTTCCCATATGGCAATGTAAAAAATAAGTAAATAAAAAAAAAAGCTGCTTTTTGTTTATGGCATAGGCAATGGTGAAATGAGGATTTATTATTCCATAACATAAGTTGGTACATGAATTCTATAGGCGTTAAGCTTCCAGTCTACAACACACAACACACCCACCACAACATCTGAGAGTTTGGCTCTCTCACAATAACCATACAAATCCAAAGGGGATTAAAATTAAAAATAAACTAAAAATAAAATAAAATGCAGGGGAAGTGGAACCGAGGGTCAATTAGAATTTGGAGTCTGTTCAAGCAGGGATAGTGTGGAGCACCACGGTCTCAACTGTGAGCCCAGGTCCGAATCCAAACAGGACTCCCCACTCGAGCCCTTCTCCACTGGTCTGAAGCCCATCTTCTCTTGACTTCTTCCTCATCTCATCCAATATGAATAGCACACAAGCACTTGACATATTACCATACTCTGAAAGAACGTGCCTGGTGGCTCGTAACTTTTCTGGCTTGAGGGCTAACTTGGCTTCTACCTGGTCCAATATTGCTGGGCCACCAGGGTGAGCAATCCAGAAAAGGGAGTTCCAGTCTGAGATGCCCAAAGGCTGGAATGCCTCAACTAGGCTCTTTTCTATGTTCTTGGAAATAAGCCCTGGAACATCCTTGAGGAGGTGAAATGTGAGCCCAACTTCACGAAGATGACCATCAATAGCACCATCACTGTCTGGCAAGATTGTTTGGGCCGCTGAGACTAGTTCAAATAAGGGCTTCTCGATCTCGGGCACGGGGTCTGCACCAATTATAACAGCAGCAGCACCATCACCAAACAATGCTTGGCCCACAAGACTGTCTAGGTGAGTGTCACTTGGCCCACGAAAGGTAACGGCAGTAATTTCCGAGCAGACGACGAGAACACGGGCACCCTTGTTGTTCTCAGCCAAGTCCTTGGCCACCCGGAGTACCGTGCCACCGGCGAAGCAACCTTGTTGGTACATCATGAGGCGCTTAACAGATGGACGTAGGCCCAAAAGCTTGGTGAGCTGGTAGTCAGCCCCTGGCATGTCCACACCACTAGTGGTGCAAAAGACAAGGTGGGTAATCTTGGACTTGGGCTGGCCCCATTCCTTAATGGCCCTGGTGGCTGCTTCTTTCCCTAGCTTTGGTACCTCAACCACCACCATGTCCTGCCTAGCATCCAGCGAAGGTGCCATATATGCACATACATTGGGATTTTCTTTCAGAATCTCTTCTGTTAGGTACATGTAACGCTTCTTGATCATGGATTTTTCACCTAAAAATGAAACAAGAAGATTAGTTTACTTCCCAAATTTCGTTTTTTTCAGACAAGAGAAAAGAAACCATCAAGTACATGGCTGAAATAGTCCCCATTTTGGTTGCAATGATCAAATAAATACAAAGCAATATTTACTTAAGAACATTGGATGCATTATCCTCCACCAATCCTTTTTTAGGTGGCTGACAGCTAAAGCTGCAAGTTCATATGCTTTTTCTGGGTCTTTCATTATTGGATTGAGTAGGAAAAAGCTTTCAGATATATATTGTTTTTATTCTAAAAATGGTTTGAATTTTTTAAATGAAAAAATAAATGTACTTACCCATTTTTCAGTTCTAATTTAAATACCAACAACTAAATTTTAGAAAATAAAATTTTAATTATAAACCAGTTTACAATAAATTACCAACAAATGGTAGGTATTAGTAATAAATTCAGACAAAAACAATCACCTAATTCACTTTTTTTTTTAAATTTCAATTATGCTTTGACATTAATTTATGGTTTGAAAGACAAAAAACAAGGTTTTCTAAAAAAAGAAGCAAGGGGAACCAACAAAGTTTCTGATTTCTACTATTGCTACTATGGTTTTGCTTTCTGAATCATCCAATAAAGTTTTTCTTCCTGTATTTTATTTCACTAATCTCAAAAAATAATGAAATTTACATACTAATATTGATTTATTAAAAACGGCAAATTAAGTTGGAATTTTTTTATTACATGTTTGTCCAACCTACCCTTTACAAGAAAAGACCCTCTAAACAAAATTTAATCTATTTTAGTCAAAGGAAAAGTTGTAGCTAACCATTTTTTAAAGCGTTTTGCATGAAAATGATATGAACCATGCATATCTATCATCCCCATTCAATTTTCAAGCGAAAATAAAATAAAGTATGAAACACCAAATCACCTCAAATTTTCATATAATATAAGCTAAATTCTAGAACAAGTAATGCAAAGAAAAAACTATAAAAGGAGAAAGAACACAAGAAGAAAAGAAACTTACACATGCGCTTGAATTTCTCTTTCAGCTCAGTCTTGTGCTCACTGTTTGTGATACGGAAATAGTAATCAGGGTATGTGCTCTGATCAACACAATTTGGTGGAGTTGATGTGCCGATCGCCAACACGGTGGCTGGCCCTTCAGCACGTTGAGCCTTACGAACTTCCTCGACGGTCACCATTCTTTTCTGTTCAACAAAAGACAACCCAAAGAGTTATAGCAACCGACGGCGGTGGTGATAGTGATGGTGATGGTTGTAATGGTGCTGGACTAGCTGCTACGAGTGGTAGAAGGAAGGGTTCGGTCCTATAAATAATATTAAGGGGCGGGTAGCTGAGAGTCACGTGCTCGACCAATGCTATTAGCCTTAAGCCCCCAACAACCACTTCTTTTAAGGCTGCCTGACACGTGACACCTGAGTTTGGTACATCTATCTGTCTCTCTTCTCCTTCCAATTAACTTGACTCTTCATATCAAGCCATTGTTCCTCCACATGACTTTTCAAAATCCAGTTCGTTTGTTTCGTTCTCACTTACCACATCCACTTTATTAATCAAACCTCTATCATGTTCATCTATGCTTACATCTAATGGTTGTGGCAGAGAAGTATATGATTTAAACGGTTGGGATTTGTTTTCATCAAAAGAGTGTGAGCATTATTTGGGAGGTTCATGGAATGAGACAACAATTATGACCAAAAAATGTGGAATACGTATAGCCTCAAGATTCTTGTTCATTAAAACCTAAAACCCCATCAAACAAAATCTTTGATCCAAACAAAATTTAAGATTGAAATATAGAAGTATAACTAAAAACATCATTTAATTTTGATATGTTATAAAACAACGTCCATTTATGTAATCTAAGCAGTAAATATTTCAAGAACATATCACTTATAATTATTTTATATTATAATTAATCAATCATAATTTAAAATATATTCATATAATTTTCAACTAAAATTTTTATTACAAATTTATCCTTTTTTTTACAAAAAAAAAAAAAAATCACAACCTAATATAAGATACGGAGTTGCCAAATTCTAAATATAACAAATGTCATTTTCTAAAAATAATTAAATAAATTAATTAAATTAAACTATGAATTCAAATATATATACTTATTTAATAATGCAACTAAAGTGACACTTAAGATAGTTTCCTAGATTAATGACACTTCCTTTATGATAAACTTAATATTGCACGCTACCTAATAGAAGGCCAAATATGACCAATAAATCAACAAACGAACTTTCAAAGTTTAAAACAATTAAAGATTTTGAAACAACATACAGAGAGAAGTAGCTTTTCCCATGTAACGTGCTAAACTGATCCAAGCAAGATTTTTCATGCCCGAGCTTGACTTGAAAATAATTTTATTAGTAAATACTTATTTTTATTGAATTTTAATCTTAATTTTATTAAAAATATAAAATAATTTTAAATTTTAATAATAAATTTTAAGTAAATGAACTTAAATAAGTGAATCAAGTTCGATCTTAAGCAAATCTTTAAACGTATTACCTGAACTCGATCAACCCAATCACAAACACTTTTACATAAATTCATTTTAAAATTTCTTCATTGAATCACAAATAAAATTTTTAAAGTTTTTATCTAAGGTTTGACCCAATTTTTTGACTCAAAAAGTTTGAAATTTAAAAAAAAAAAATTTATATTAAAATTTATATTATTTTTAAATATATATTTAAATTAAAATTAAATTAATAATATTTTTTAATAATTTAATCTCAAATTGAATTAAATCGGGATTCGAATATTTCTACTCAAGATTCAAAGTGGAGTTGGATCAGTGGACATGTCTAATCACAATCATCTATTAGCAAAGTTTTAGAGCAGTTTTCATGTCTAAATTCTAAAACTTTCAATTTTTTTTCTTTAAATTAATTCTTCGTTATGCATATCTTATCTTTTTTTTTTTTTGAATAAACATCTGTTATCCTCTTAGATCTTAGGTCTTACGTGCAAAACTTTTTTTTTTCTTGTTCGTATTCTATACACTTAGGATCTACAAACGAAACTTATTAATCATTCATTCATCTTACATGCATGATTGCAACACAAAAAATACTAGTAAAATTTAAATACAAAAAATTAATAATTTTTTATAATTTAAAATTATATCCGATAATAAAAAATATGATATGATAATATAATAAAAAAAATGATATAAAAAATACAAAAATGACACTGATTAAAATTTTAATAAAAATTATATATAGTTTAACGAAACAAAAAAAAAATATTTTATATTTTTCATATCAATACGAAATATAATACATAAATTTTATATAAAATAAAATATAAATACATAAATTATAATATTTTATATGACATAATACATAAATTACCATATCTAATTAAAATCAACCTTTGGATATAATAATTAATTAATATTTAATCAATCAATTATCTTTTAAACAAATTTAATACACATTTCATGACTTGGATTATTAAATGGACCACAGTCCTTATGCAATATTCCCAGGCAAACATGTATGTTTTTTTTTTTTTTAACAAATTAATTATATATTGGATTGATTTGTCTTGTTACTATAACTGACCCCACTATTTTGTGCTGTGGGAATTTTTGTTGCATTTCGGCTTTCTCTTTCTCTATTCCTCTTTTTATCACGGTCGCTCTACCTTTTTTTTTTTTTTAATTCATATGACCCACGAATATATGTATTAGATAAAGATCAATTACATTATATATATAAATAAAATTTTTGAGCAATAAGCAAAATTAAAAAGAAAAACGTTAATTCTCTAAAAAAATGAATAATAATTATAAATTAAAAAAAAAAAAAGACAACTGACTTTATAGCTGTTGTCTCTGATTCACTCCAACAAGGCACGATCTTTATTACAAATTATATATATATTTTTTTTACAAAGAGAGGTACAATCTAAAATAAAAAGAAGAGATTATAAGTGTTAAAATTGGAATTATAAATTTAATAAATATTATGTTTTAAAAATAATTACATAAATCAATTAAATTAAATTTTAAATTTATAAATATATTTATTTGATAATGCAACTAAAGCAACACTTAATATAGTTTTCCAAGATTAATGACACTTCATTTATGATAAAATTAATATTTTACGGTAGCTAACAGAATGCCAAATATGAACAATAAACCAACAAACGAACTTTCAAGGTTTAAAACAATTAAAAGGTTTTGAAACAGCATACAGAGGGAAATAGCTTTTCCCATGTAAGGCGCTAAACCGATCCATCCAAGATTTTTCAAACCCAAGTTTGATTATTGAACTAATTTTATTATTAAATAATTATTTTTTATTTTATTTTAATCTTAAAATATAAAATATAAAATATAAAATATAAAATAATTTTAAATTTTAATAATAAATTTAAATTAAACCAACTTAAGTAGGTGAATCAAATTCGATATTAAGCAAATCCTTAGAGATGTTACCTAAGCTTGATCCATTTTAAAATACCTTCAATGAATCACAATTAAAATTTCTAAAGGCTTTATCTAGGGCTTGGCCCAATCTTTTTTATTCCAAAAAGTTTGAAATTTTAAAAAATATATTAAAATTTTATTATTTTTAAATATATATTTGAATTAAAATTAAATTAAAAATATTTTTAATAGTTTAATATCTCAAATTGAATATCTCTATCAAGATTAAAAGTCCAGTTGGATCAACGGACATGTGTAATCACAATCATCTATTAGCAAAGTATTAGAGCAGAGTTTGGTATCTAAATTCTAAAACATTTTAGTTTTTTTTTTTTTTGTAAAATTAATTCTTCATTAAACATATATTATACTTTTTTTTCTTGAATAAATATATCTTATCCTCTTAGGTCTTATGTGCAAAACTATATTTATGTTCGTTTTCTGTACACTTGGATCTACACACTAAACTTATTAATCATTTGTTGGCAAAAACAAAGAAAAAAAAATCACTCATCGTACATGCATAATTGCAACAAAAAAAATATACTAGTAGCAAATTTTAAATACAAAAAATTAATAATTTTAAATAATTATAATTAGATTCGCAATAAAAAATACAATATAAAAATAATATATAAAAATGACATGAATTAAAATTTTAATAAAAACTATGTATAATTTAACAAAATATATATGTTTAATATTTTTTACTCAAATACAAATTGTAATAAAAATTAAAAAATAATTTTTTATATAATATCAAATTAAGTTGGGTTTATCTAAAATTTAAACTCGATTTTTTCTTAATAATATCTAACCCAACCCGAAATCCAATTTAAAAAACAAAAATTGATCCTAGGCAGTCGGATCAGGTTGAAACCCGTCGGTTGCGGGTTAGATTGTCAACCCTAAAGATATATATATATATATATATTGAGTAATAAGCAAAATTTAAAAGAAAACGTTAATTCTCTCAAAAAAATGAATAATAATTATAAATAGGGGAAAAAAAACAACTTACTTTATTGATGTTGTCTCTAATTTGCTCCCACAGACCACGATCTCTTGAAAAACCACTTAAAAAATGTTAAAAAAATTTTCAGCGATTCAATCTAGATTGTCAAAAAGGTAAAAAATTTTTGGTTTGAGTGAAAAATTTACATTTGTTTTTAAAATTGTATGATCTATAAAGCAGCAGACATTAGAAATTGATTGCAGAGGAGGTTGAGGTTCCTTGCAATTGTAAGTGATGTGAACCAAGTTCTTTTACAATGCCTAATTACAGAACTAAACTGAAAACAAATCAGCAATTATTTATTTCTGTTTGGAATATCTCCAAATGACGCATAAATGTCTAAGATTTTTTTTTATTGAAAACTTACCATTATTTATGTATTTTTAAAATTTTTAAAGTTTTTATCCGTTTTTGTTATGAATATGGCTTTGATATTTTAATTTCCTATACATTAATTACTTTAAAAAGATATTTTCCTAGGTTACTCCTCTTTAAATAAGTTGGCGATGAGATTTGTTTTTATAATTGTGAGATTGGTTATTTATTTCTGTTTGGAATATCTCCAAATGGAGCAGAAATGTTTAAGATATTTTTTATTGAAAACTTACCATTATTTATGTATTTTTTAAGTTTTCTTTAAAGTTTTTATCCGTTTTTGTTATAAATATGGCCTTGATATTTTAATTTTCTATACATTAATTACTTTGAAAAGATATTTTTCTATGTTACTCTTCTTGAATGTATACTTTTTTTTTTTTTGTTTTTAGCCCATCATTTGAACATGACTCTTTGAGTAAGATGACGATGAGATTAATTCTTATAATTATGATATTAGTTATCTATTTATATTTGTAATATCTTAAAATGAAAGCTGAAATATTCAAGATATTTTTTTTGAAAACTTACCATTAGTTATGTATTTTTAAGTTTTTTTTTTAGTTTTTATTCTTTTTTTTTTTATGAATATGGCTTTAATATTTTAGTTTTCTATACATTGATTACTTTAAAAGGATAATTTTTCTATGTTACTCTCCTTGAATTTGTAGATTATTTTCTGGTTTTGGCCTGTTATTTGAACATGACTCTTTGAGTAAGGTAGCAGTGAAATTAGTTCTTATAATTGTAAGATTAGATCATTGGTAGTGCTACATTCAAGCCAAAGGGGACCATGGCTCCCCCAACATTTTTTATGTCTTGTACTTAGATATGTTTTTAATCTACAAGATTCCTTAAATAGATAAAGATGGCCTCTCAAAAAAAAATTCTTTGTAATTAAAAAACCTTAAATTTTAAGATAAAAAAAAAAATCAAGACTCAAATCCTAATAAATTTGTAAAATGTATTAATATTTAATAGTTTAATCCTCTTTTAAAACTAAAAAATAAATAACTTTATTGTTTTATATAATAAATAAATTATTTGATTTTAGTTTTCTTTAAATTATTTTATATATGTTATTGATTTAAAATTTTGCATTAGATAATGTTAAAAAAACTAGTTAAACATTTATTTCATTATTAAAATCTTATAATAATATCATAATTTCACTTCATTGTTGTCTTATTCCTTAAATAAATATTATTTTACTAAATATTACTTAAAATTTAAAATAATTAATTAATTAATAACGTTCAAGTTTTGTTTATTATTTCAAATTTACTTGTGAAGAACGATTAAGTTAAAGTGTAATTTTTTTTTTGTTTTATGTTTATTGATCTTTTGTACCTATTTTGATTTTTACTACATCACTTAAAAAATATTTTTTAGTGATAAAAATTATTAAAACAAAACTTCATAACAAATGTAAGAAGAGTTTCTTAAAGATAATTTTTTCTATACATTAAAAAAAAAATTTTGATAAAACTTTTCAACTCAAATGATTTTTTTTTTTTTCATGAAATATCGCCATGCACAGTTTTAAATAAAAGAATTTGAGTTTCCTTCATTTTTAGTAGTTAATTTTTTTAATACTTGAATTTTTACGTATGTTGTTTATAGTTTCATATATGAAATGTAACATTTCACATATGTTTTTTATAATTTTTGATAAAATAATAACATATTATACATTAGATAAAAATTTTAATTACAAATTTTAATTTTATTTTGGCCCTTTCTAATTTGAAATCTCGGATTCACCACTAAATCGGATATTGCAATGGTGAAATTAAAATAAGTGATAGAATATGTGTTTAGATATAAAATAAAATGGCAGAATACGAAATGTAGTAAGAAAAAAATTATTAAAAACATTAAACTAAAGTTTATGTATGATATACTTTTTAAATTATTTGATATTTTTGAAGTTAATAAGTAATTAAAAATTAATAAAATTATTTTTTATTAAATAACATTTTTATTAATAAATAATTAAAAATAATAAAAATAATAGTAATATATTAAATGAATTTAAAAGAATCTAATCTAATACATATTATATTACCACATACATAGTTTACCAAATAAAGTTTGTTGATATTGACACTTATGTGGACACATAAGAAAATTACTAAAATTTTAATTTATAATGATATATAAGATATTTTTTAATTTTAAACTCTTAATCAAAAAATATATTTTAAAATTTATTTAATTATCCAAAACTTTTAAAATTTAAATGAAAAACCAATTTAGATTTAAAATAATTAAAGGGATAAAATTATTATTTTTTTTGGTAAGATTTTGTTTAAATAAGTAATAACTTTTATTTTTATTTATGGATTAAATAAATGTATTCAAAAAATTATTGGTTATCCAAATTTTTTAAGATATATTTATTTGAAAATTTTTTAATTATCTAAAGTTTTTCTTTATACTAAAAACACTCATCTTTATTTATAAAATACACATTTAAATATAGTAAGATAATTCGTATATTGCACGGTTAATAAATTAGTTTAAATATATATTGACTTTTCAACTCTTTATTTACTATATTATACATTTAATTATTAATTTGTATATTAATTTTATTTATTAAGTGTTATTCATTTTATTTAATTTTAGATAAATATATTTATTTATTATTTATTTGTATTAGAGTGTAATGTTTTTAAAGGATATTTAAAAAATGCATTAGTTACTTAAGAGTACAAATTGATAAAAAATAATAATAATATGATAAACTTGAAAATTTTTTTTCTGAATTCACTATGGTCTCAAGCTTTTAAATATGTTGGATAGAATTATATTTAAGAAATATTTATAAAAACAAAAATATCCAAAGCAATGGGTAGTTCACGACCGTCAGTCCACTAATATCCGTAGGCGTGGACTGTCAGTCTGCTACTCAAATAGGCAAATAGCATATCATGATCCAATTGCACCAAAAAACTGCATAATCTCTTAATACAAGGTGGGGCCTTTCAGGAGCTGAGACTTACAATCATTGCTCGGCTCGGACAATATCCCGAGCCTAGACCAGTGAGCATGCTATGACATATGCACGTCACGTGGTCATTATTAGTTGTTTATTGTAAAACTGATTTATTAAGATATACAATGATATTTTATTTTTATTTAATATGGGATTAATGCATCTACTTGTTTTCTTGGACACATGGACTGAGTATTGAGTCAATTGATCATTTGCTAACATTCTTTTTAACAGTTTGTTGTGTTGTGCGAGCATTTCTTTTTGAGCGAGGCCACTGCGGTTTGTGAGTTGCTTACAAACATTGGCATTAGCATTTATGGCAACATGCCAAAGTGATATTCTCAGGTTCTCTTGCAATAGGTTCTTCCTGAGAACTTGAAAAGTTGAAGCTTATTGTACCTTGCATTTAATAATTAGTTATCAAATTGTGGCTTCTACCAATGAAGATGAGGCTGCTTCCTTAGCTATCAGCAATTACTTATTAGCCTACTGAAAAAGGGATCATTGCACACACTTCAATTTGCACACCAACTTCAAAGTGGAAAGGCCAAAAGGAAAACGTAAATAAGCCAGTGTCTGATCTTTATCACCACATTTGCTGTTTTTTTTTTTAAAGGAAAAACACCTTTTGAAATGTTTGAGAGAGTGGGGGAGAGAGCTGGATCCCCGCTTTTTGGTGCTGCAAAAATTCTCCCATAAACTGTAGTAGATTGTCATCAATGATTGTTGATTTCTGTGGGACCAGTTGCTCAAGAGGTCAGGATCAAATCTTTCAATCCTAGCTAGATATAGGGTTATTTCTTTCTCTGTTTTGTGCCTACCATTAGGATAGGATCTATATGTACACCAGCAAGATAAATAAACAAGATGAAAAAAAATCTTTTTACACATCCTAAAAGTTTTTTCTTGGATATTATTTTCATCGATAAAATTAATGAATTCGATGGTAATTCTTAAACGATCATTATAAAATTAAAATATCAATTATTTTTTTATTTGTCGATGGTTTTTAATTAAATAAAATAATATATTTTACATTATATAAAATATTAATTTAATTATTTTATATTATAAGTAAACACTTAAAAAAAAAATATTGAATCATCATTAGTATTGAAATAAAGACTACTAAATCTTAGTATTTAAAAAGGTTGATAAAACGCCTTGAGAATATAGGACTCTGTAAAAAGAGGCCTGAATTCGATTTTTCTGATATTATATGATCAATTTGGTCCCCAGGACCTAGTGTAACGAGTAACCAAGCGTTAGTAATCAAATTGTTGGCGAGAGTGAGAGAGTCGGGAAGGGTAGGATAGCATTGATCCACCAAAAAATACTTCATCTCCTCAAACCGAACACCAAGCTCTCTTGACCTGTTTTGACTTTTAAGCAAAGAAGTTTGGTAATACAACAAAAAGTGAATGATACACTAAACACCAATCAAGTTCTGCCCTCAATTCCTGCCAAAGTTGTCTTATTAGCTGCTTTTTTATATTTATTTTCCTTAGTGGCCTGGCCTATCCTGATCATCTGGAACCTGGTGGTATCTTTAATGGCAATGCACTGGTGCTGTATCTGGTTTCTGGCAATATTATTCCTTCTTTTTTTGAGCTTCGAGGTGCAGCTAAGATATGGCTGCCTATGGCTATACTCTCGCAAGTTACGAATTAGTTTTTTCAGCAAAAAGAATGAGTCATGGTTGTTTGTTTTCCAGAAAAAAAGAGTCAAACATCAATCAAAATCAACATCCTTCTGCAGATTACAGAATAATTTATGAATAAGGGCACAGAGGCAAGGATGATCAGTCAAAATCCTGTGGAAATGTTGGAGTCAGAGCACTTTGTAACAAGCCCTTTGACCACACATTCAGAGCTGCTTAGGTTCCTTCTTCTTGAATTGTAGCTCTGCAGCAGGTTAATTCACAGAAATGATGGCGATTGGGGCTAACCTCTTTTCTTCACTTTGTTCTTAACATCGCTAAATTCTGGTATTTGTCTTTTGATTGCTTGGCTTATGCAAATTCTGTACATGTACTAAAGTTTATCACTAATGGACAAAGAATACATATTGTACGACCAACAAAGGCATAAAACCGTAGCATTTAGTTCAATTCAAATAATACTCAAAGAGTCCAAAACTTTACAAATGATGGTCAAACAATTAATTGAGTATATAGGTCGCCCAGTTAATATTGAAAGGATCATCATTTTCAACAGAGTTCACTAATTATTGCTCAACAACACAAATTATACCTCTGCAGATTCCCCTTAACAGTTTCTTAAGACTGGAAAAGAAACAAATCAAAAGCTTGTCTAAGATGGGGGCAGCAAACCAAGAACAAGAACACAATTACAAAAGGAAAATGAAAATTAATGCCTGCTACTAGCTAATTGTAGTTGAAGAGCAGGGCTGATACCGAGACTAGGCTGCAAAATACCTCATCGCCTCTATTCATCTGTTACACACCCCTTTGAAGCTGGTTGCACGTTCTTGATGTACTGAAAATGAAAATGAGATGTTTGTTTAGAGATCTACTATTTAATATAGGCAAAAAAAACATAATTCTAGTGCACACGATTATGACCCCCACCTTATGCAAAACTCCTCTATTAGCCCTGTAAGGAGGTGGAGTCCACTTCTCTTTCCGCTCGTTTAGTTCATCATCTGTCAACTGAACATTTATGGCCTTCTTCTGAACATCAATGCTGATGAGATCCCCATTTTGAATTAGACCGATGGGGCCACCCTCCTATAAAAAAAAAAAAAATCCAATTTTGACCATCTATTTATTTTAGGGCAATAGAGCAATTTTATATAATATAAACTTTTTTGGGACGTCAAAATATTATTATAAGTATAACTAAACATAAATAATATAATCAGAGACATAGGAGTCTTACTGATAATTACTATATCAGTATCAGATTTGAACATACTTTGTCTTTGATGTGAATCGAGATTTGTTTTGAAAACTGAGAACTCAAATACTTTGTTTTGAAAACTGAGAACTCAAATACTTTTGCTATCCTACATTCAAGTTGGGAAGCTATTATCGTCTGTCAAATGTTTCACACTTTCCCAATTGAAGTGCAAATTAAATTTTTTGACCATCTCTTGTTTAATCTAAAATTTTCAGGGCTATGATTTTGTCCAAATGCAGGATAAAGCGTATCTTTATATCTTGGGAAGAAAGAAACATAAAAAAAAAAAAAAATCACAAGGACTAAAATGCAAAATGTTAGGCTTTCATTGGAGTGCAAAATTATCATGCAATCTGTGAATGAGAAATTACTGCACCTGTGCTTCGGGGCATATGTGGCCTACAACGAATCCATGTGAACCTCCAGAAAACCTACCATCAGTGAGCAACGCAACATCCTGCAGCATTCACTTGAAACAATCAAATCAAATACCACTTTGAAGGGCACAATATTTACATCAGAAGTTTGAAAGATGTAATTCAAGTTGAAAAGAAAATGTAGAGATGGTAAAATGGAAGTACCAAAAGGGTATAAGAAAGTTTTAAGACCATTCAAAGACCAATGGAGGTAACTTATTATGCCTCCAATAATCACAGAATTGAGATCTAGCATTTTTTGAATAAATATAGAATAGCATCTTTAAGGATCAATCAACAAAAAAATAGGCCACTAGTGGCAAACCCCTTGGACTTCATATCACAATACCTTCCCAAGACCTGCTCCCATTATTGCACTTGTTGGTGTCAACATTTCAGGCATGCCTGGGCCTCCCTTGGGTCCCTCCCCTCTGATGACTACTACTTTTCCCTGGATATTTACATCCATAAACAACATTTAGAGTTTCGCAAATGCAAATAGATATACAAGGAATGCATGCTCAAGCTCACATTCTTAACTGAAATGTACTCAACAAAGTTCATCCTAAAGAGCATCATAAGAAACAATTTGGAAAATATTATACATATAAAATTAAGCAGATAATGAATAAGCATCAATGCAGATAATATAGCAGTTGAATATGTAATGGGAAAAGGGACTGCCGGTCAATCTCTTAAAAGGCAGTCAAAACCTGCTTTTACTCAAAAAAAAAACAAATAACATAAATCTGTATTAGTACTGTTAAAGCTGAGAAAAATATGGGAAATCAATAATCACAAATAAATTTGCACAGATATATGCAGTAAAAAACCTGTGGCCTTGCCACTAAGACTATTAAATGAAGCACACCAATAAAATCAGTCTCATAGTCATTTTTTTACAACTTTTATTTATTCAAAAACTAAGGGAAAAATCAGGCTACGAAGAGTACAAAGTCATAGCACTCAGCAAATAAAATGAGGCAGCTTATGTATCTGACACAAAACGTATCTGACACAAAACTTAAGTAAAACAACTTCTCATAGTCAATTGTTAATAAAAAACTCAGCATACGGGGCCTCCACTTTGCTAACTAATTAAAGAAACATACTACGCTGCTTGACGCACATACCTTAAAATTCATAGGATTTTCTGAGATAGCAGCTAGCATAGCTTCCTCTCCTTCAAAGACAAGTGCAGGACCTAAAGAACAAATTTTGCAATCATTACCTATGGAAGCAGACTAGATCTTTAACTCAAAAGAATCTGGCAGCACAATGAACATGAAGCACAAACTTAAAATTAGAAAGAAAGGAAAAAAAAGCACCAGAGAAATATAATCCTTCTTTGCCAGTAATTTTTGCTACAGAACCCTCAGGTGCAAGATTCCCTCTTAATATTTGGATGTGCCCTGTTTTCTTAATGGGATTTGAAACAGGTCTTAGGATATCCTGGAAAACAAATTGGAGACTGATCAGACTAGTTATATCTTCCACTCATGAAATCTCAAATTTTAATATTTAGAAGGAACAATCTTTTGGAGGGTGGGGTGGGGGGGGGACACCGGCACCAACCTGTCCCTCAGGTAAACAAGGGTAACTTTGTGCATTTTCTGCCAATGTCTTCCCAGTCACTAGAGAGGAAATATCATTGTATCAAATTAAAAAATACTGAAAAATTAAGCTCCCAAATTACAATAAATGAAGAAATGTTAATAGAATCCAAATCAGCATACCAGTTATGCAATCCCCATCTAGATATCCAAGCTCCAAAAGATAACGAATAACAGCGGGCGTTCCTCCAATCTATTAAAACATGATTTTTTCTCATAAGTTGAAAAGATAGGATAGACAGCATGTATAGAGAAAGTTATTAATGTCATGCTTCATAAGCTATAGAGGAAAAATATAACTCGAAAGAAAAAAATGAAGGCACAAGATATTCAATTTTTTTTTTTTATTGTCCAGAGATATTCAATTAATTTATACCTTATGCACATCCTCCATGACATATTTGCCACTGGGCTTCAGATCAGCCAGAAATGGAACCTCATCACTAACCCTCTGGAAATCATCAAGAGTCAACTCTAGACCAACTGACCTGCCATGAATCTTTCCACGAGTCATCCACAAATTTTTGAAAATTTTGATATCCAAGGGATATTTGGAACAAATTCTCACCTTGCTATAGCAATTAAATGTAACACAGCATTGGTTGACCCACCTAGGGCCATGACAATAACCATTGCATTATGTAAAGATTTGTGGGTGATAATGTCTTGGGGTTTTAAATCCATTTTCAACAATTCTAGCAGATACTTTCCAGCCAAACGGCATTCATCCAATTTCAATGGGTCTTCAGCAGGTATTGAAGAGCTTGTCAGAACAAACAAACAAAAAGTAAGAAAGAAGGCAGAAATGTCAAATTCTCAATCCAAATGATCTTGGGAGAGTATAATTCTACCTGTAAGGAAGAGACATTCCCATAGCTTCTATTGCAGAAGCCATGGTATTTGCAGTATACATTCCTCCACAGGCCCCTGCTCCAGGGCATGAGTTACGGACAACATTCTTTCTCTGCTCATCACTTATTGATCCACTTACATACTCTCCATAACACTGCAAGGCCAATCAAAAGGAAAAGAAAAAGCAGTTATAGGGTTACAAATTTGACACAATAAGTTGGCATTTTCAGATAAATTCATCTCATAGAAGGTAATCTTCACATATTAGCCTATGTCAGACATTATAATGAAATTGCTTGATCTTGACAAAATCAAATCAGTTGATCCTTATTGTAATCCTCAAAGGTCATATAAACAGGGAGAAAAAAAAGAGTGAAAAGCAAAAGCAAACTTTGCTCCTCAAAAGGTGAGTACTACTAAAGTTCATGAAGAGGGGAAAACCAAAAAAGATGTAACATAAAGAGCCCCAAAATTTATGTGTGCCAGCACCAGAGACCAACTAACTAAACTCACAATCTAGTCCACCTAATACATTCTGTCAATACTTCACTTCTCAAGCAGAATTTTAGAGAGATAGCAAATAAGAAGATATCACATCGCTCGTGACCAGAAAATGCAAAACTTCTCCCTTTTTGATAAAATGAGTATAAATTCCAAAAAGCCTGCATTGGAAGAGATTTATGCAAAAGACAAACTCCACAGAGGTTCAACCCTTATAAACCAAAATAGAAAAAAGGCAGGCAGTTAATTTTGTCTATTTATACACACCACCAAGAGGTTCTTGGTATTACACGGACATAGATTGTCCAGCACAACAAGTCCTCCATTTTTGACAAGGACATTTACCTTTATGTATTTTTATTCTAATCTTATGATTGTAAGCCTTTATATTTTAGTCATAACTCAATGCACATATACTTGACAAAAACATCATATAGATCATGGAAAATATTGCATGTGTTTATCTAAGTGTAATATCCTTCATAAAACATCATAGAATCCGCCAAGTTCCCTTGCTAATTCAAAAAAATTTATTTTAGTTGTCACACGAATTTGTCCTAAAATCAAAGAATTAACAGACACCAAGGATCTGAAAAAAGATAAATTATGGGAGCACAGAAATGCCAAAACCAAGGAAAACATGCAGCTAATATGAAGATATAATGAGAAATAAGTAATCAACTAACATAACAGCATTCCAATAGCATATTATGGGCTTACCTGGAAGGCAGATACTATGTCATACGTATTGCCTTGAAAATGACCAGGCTGCAAAAGAACAAGTATAAAAAAAATTAAATAAATAAATAAATCAATGCATCATTAACATTGACAACATATAACCTTTTCAATTTGCAGTACAGCAAATACCTGAATTTTTAGTTGACTACACTTCGAGTATATTATATGAATATATGATGTATATGAAACAACAAATAGAAGCAGAGCAACAGGTTGCAATAAATCTCATTTAAGACATACTATCACATGATGACATAATTTACTTAAGGTAAGAAATCAGGATGTTTGACGCCTCAGATTCTTTTAAATAGGTTTAGACCTAAGTTTTGGCATAACATATTATCAAATTGCCAGCATACCTACAAGTTATATTAGGCCCAGCAGATGTATATTGATAAGAAAAGTAAAGCACATGTAACACTGCAATTTAGAAAAGAATGCAGCATTCATAAGACCGAGTGATTTCCTCTTTGAAACCGATCTTTAAGGCCTAATCTAATATTATAGGAGTAGATGTGTATTTATTTCAGAATTTTAAAAAGCAGCAGTTATTTCAAAGGAAACTTACCATTGAATGTTATAAAAGCAAAACTAATAAAATACTGAAGCTAAATGAGCCATTTGCAGCAAAAGAACAAGCATACTTAACTTATAGCACTGTCCTAAATAAAGTAAAGTAGCAAACCTTGATAGTCCCACCATAAACCATAAGACTTGGTCGATTGATCCTCCCCATCGCAATAATTGTACCTGGCATCTAGGGACATAGCTAGCATTAGATTGATATAGTTGCACAATTTTGAAAGACAACCTGTTTCATACTATAATATATGATTGTTGAATGTTCTTGAACCACAAATGCATTTACACATAAACAACTTCTACAGTTATACCAAGGTCCAACATTGAATCAAAACTCATGGTTAAATGACTAGGAAACATTACATTTAAACTCAAGGAGAAGAACTCGACCAAAAGATTAAACATTATCAAAACTTACAACCCTCATATTTTTCCAATAGCCAGAAGATAAATTGAAGAAAATTTGCTCTAAGTTCAATTTATAGGAGATTTAGAAACCAAATAAAAAAGTTCAAACCAAAGAAAACATTGCATTTCAGTTTAAGCTTGCTCTCCACCCCTTGGGCTTACCAAATAAAGGCTCAACTAATAATCCATGTAAGTTCAACCCACCATTAAGCTCAATTCAAAAGTTATATAGTTTCAATGAAATAATTGATCCTACAAAAAATATATATTTTATGTCTAAAAAATTGATCACTTTGATTGGTTTCTTCCATTTAAACCAAACGGAGAACAGTCTTCATAGAAATATAGCTTACTTCTTTCCCTTTTCTCCTCATTCTCAAAATTAAAAGCAATAAGCATATAAGCAAAAAAAAAAACATTTTTTCCTTTCACAACTAAAAGTACATATATACCAAAAAATGAATAAATAAATTCAAAATCAAGAGAAACAATCACAGTCAATTGAAAAAAAAAAACTAAAGTTTGAAAAAAAAAAGCATATTTATTAAAAAAGTAAAGTATGAATTAAAAAATTACTTTTTTATCACAACCAGGAATAGAAATTTGAATCAAAGAGCATATTTATTAAAATCAGTAGTCTGAATTTAAAAAACTTACATTTTTATCACAACCAGGAATAGAGATATTTCCATCATACCACTGAGCACTCATAACTGTTTCGATACTATCAGCAATCAAATCCCTTGACTGCAAACTATAGCACATTCCTCTCGTCCCCATCGATATCCCATCGCTAACTCCCACCGTATTGAATCTAAACCCAACCATTCCAGCCTCCTCAACACCCCGTTTCACTTCCTCCGACAACTTCAACAAATGCATGTTGCACGTGTTCCCCTCGTACCAAACCGACGATATGCCCACTTGTGGCTTCGACATGTCGTCTTCTGATAAGCCGACGCCATATAGCATGGCCTGGGACCCGCCTTGTGACTTTGGTTCCGTTATTCTTGAGCTGTACTTGTTGAGTTTTGTTGTGGTTGGAGAGGGAAGATCTACTGTTACTGTTGCTTGTGATTGTGCAGTTATGCGAAGACATCGGCGGCAGTTTAGAGGAGGGGCGAGCGGTTTGGTTGTGGGGAGTGCGGTTGGGTGTGAGGTTAGAAAAGTGGCATGCATGGCGGCGGCGGAGATGGGTTTAAGGTAGGGGATTAGGAAAGCTGCTTGCTCCCCCTTTCTGATAGACTGCCTGCAAATGACTGTGGTAGGCACGTACCATGCACGTGCTTATTTATAGGTGTAAGATTCCAATGAGTTTGATTATTGATTATTGATCAGCAGAGGTGAGAGAAAAAATATGATTTTAGGGAATTAAATTTTTTATTAGATTTAAATTAAATTTAGATATTACATATATATTATGTTTGAATTAAATTTTAAATTAAAAAATGAAATAAAAATAAAAATTTAATTAAATATTTTTACTAATTTATATATTTTTTAATTTTTTAAAAAATATAAATGATTATTTTATATTTAAATTTATTTAAATAAATTAAAAATAATATATAAAGAATAAATAATAAATTTTAAGAATTAATAAATCAAATTAAATTAAAAAAATTTTATTCGAATTAATTTAAATTTAAATCAACTTCAAAAAATTTAAAATATATTATATATTATATTATGTTTGAATTAATTTTTAAATTAAAAAATGAAATAAAAATATAAATTTAATTAAATATTTTTACTAATTTATATATTTTTTAATTTTTTTAAAAACTATAAATGATTATTTTTATTTAAATTTTTTTAAATAAATTAAAAATAATATAAAAACAATAAATAATAAATTTTAAGAATTAATAAATCAAATTAAATTAAAAAATTTTATTCGAATTAATTTAAATTTAAATCAACTTCAAAAAATTTAAAATATATTATATATTATATTATTTAAAAAATTAAATCGAACTTAATTCTATCTAAATTATTATCATCAGTAGAGTTTTTAAGCACCAGTGAGTGATGAAGCGTAGGGGAAGAGGTTTAGGTGAAAAAAGGACGGCTTTAGAGGGGACAACGGCCAATATTTTGTCGAATGAATAAGCTCATGAGTAATGGAGTTATTGAAGCGGACAAAGATTCTGGTTGGTAATGTTTTTGTTGTTGTTATCTTAGGTAAAATAGCCACGCAATGCGATAAACTGGTAATTTTATTTGTATAAATTTGATATTTGAAGAATTTTTTTTATCATTTAGGGTAACTTTTTTAAAATATATATAACTTCGGTGTATTTTTGTTCACATTCCTTATCTTTGTGACATATGAACTTTGTCAGGTACAGATTATTAGATGTCATCTTTTTTAATTTTATTTGTATAAATATGATATTTGAAGAATTTTTTTATCATTTAGGGTAAAATTTTTTAAATATATATATAACTTAGGTATATTTTTGTTCTCATTTCTTATCTTTGTGACACATAAAATTTATTGAGTAAAATTTATTAGATGTTATTTTTTTTTGTTTAAGATATTTCGATTAATTTGAAATCGAGTTAAATTAAATCGCATAAGGAGGATAAATTCTATCAAATTTATTTTTTTATTCATAAAATTTAAAATCAAAATTTTATTTTAAAAAAATTAAACTCTTTATCATTTGAATTAATAAACAAAAGTTGATTATTAAATATCGTTTACTCTTTTATTTTTCTTTTTCTTTTCGTATCATCAATTCTTTATAATTAAAAAAAAACATTTTATTTGAGAAAATATTTGTACAGAATCCTTTATGCCCTTCCTTTATCCTTTCGTTTAATGTTTTATCCTTATTAAATCATCCAATTTTTTTTTAAAAAAATTTTTGGAAGAAAACAAAACGAACAATCCTTCACATCTAGAGCAAATGAAAAGGGGGAAAGCTCTAGTCATCAAAATGTATCTACCTCTCTGCCTTCCTCTAATCCGGTTTTTCACATGTATTTTATTATTCATGTTTTTAGGAAAAAAGAACTTTCAATTGCAAACTAGATCGACACAAAAAAAATTAACTTATTCACTTCTTCAAAACCATCCTTTTATTATCCATCTATTGCAAGAAGAAATCGACACTTTCGTACAATCATTTACGGCATCTATTTCAACTATTCGTTCAAAAGAATACTATTTTGATGAGGGCACATTCAAGGTAAAATTTCGACATCTTTAAGCTTTGAAAGCTGTTTATTTATTAATTATAAGCAAAATTCCTTTCGGTGCTATTCATTTTCATTGTAAATTCTTCATTTTATGATATATGTAATTTTTATGTTTCAAAATTTAATATTACTTTTTATCAATTTAAAAAATAGTTTTATGTTTACGAGAAATTATGTAATGAATGGGCAAATTAATGAAATGGCATCTTCATTCCTTAGAGTACAAAGGTGAAAAAAAAATCAAAAAAATTTAAAATTGATTTAAAATTATAGTGTTTGGTTAGTTTGGATCAGTTTTTTTTTTTTTTATTCTGATCAGATTAAATTTAAATATTAAATGTATATATTAGATTTGGATCGAAAAATGAATAATCGAACAAAATTGAATTAAATCGAATTATATATTTTTGTTAGTTTTTATATATTTTTTAAATTTTTATAAAATAAAAATAATTATTTTATACTTAAATCTATTAAATATATTAAGATAATATATAAAAAATTAAAAATTAAATTTTAAAAATTAATAAACCAAATCGAACTAATAAAATTTAGTTCAAATCATATTGAATTGTACAAATATTTGATTTGGATTTAGATTAAGTTTTAAAAAATTATAATTTTATACATTATTTAAAAAAATAAAACTAAACTCAATCTGTTTTGAACCATTATTCCCTTTAGGTGGACTTGCACCAAAGCAAACCAATGTAACAATGAGATTCTAAAAGAATGCATGATTATCTGTCTCACACGATGATTGCAATTTTCCCTTTCAAATTTCATCATCAATCAACCTTACCATTGTTTTCATATTTTTTCGAAACGCCCAAATTTGCTCTCTTATGAACCTTTATACCCCTTTTAGAATTTTCTTATTTAGTTTGTTCGTATACCCTTATTATCTAACTTAATTAAGGCACACAAGTGAATGAAACAAACTTCTAATGTTATAAATAAAAAAGATTAACTTTATCTATTTGAATGGCTTCTGCTATGCTCTCTTTGATGTATATATGTTTTCAAAAGATGCATTGCAAACCAAAGATATTGTATTTTAATTTATCTATTCCAATTGTGAATTAAGAATATTTGGAATTTACCTTTTGTAGAATCCATTAGATTTAATAAAATGTAATTACATATTTTAATATGAGATATGTCTCAAACCTTTTACAACAGTTCTTAGCTTATTGCTTTTAAATAGAAACGTTACTGTCCCTATTTTCTTATTGATTTAAACATAGATAACTTTCATAATTGTTTTGATTATCAGTAGCACTTTATGTTCATACCTTTTTGTAAAATTACACAACTTAGTTTAGTTTTACTAGTATGAAATCTGTTTGTTGAGCACCATTGCCTCATACTTTGCATCCCTTAACAATATTTTATCATTTTTTTATGATTATATGATTTTTTTTTTCAAAGAATAAAAGAAATTACTATACAATTTACATGTCATTGTTAATTTATAGTTTACTTTATGCTTAGTTATTTAGAAAGAAAATATATATATATATACATGTTATTGTTTAATTACATCTTCTAACATTAACTTCTGTTTGAATGCTAACTCTTATAATTACATATTCAACGGCTAATAAAACTTACAAAACACTTTCATGATTTATAAAATTTGCAAACCAACTGTTTGCTTATTATAGATTTTCACTCGAAGCCAAAATCATGAGAAGAACACCACAACCATGAATAATTTAAAAATTTATATGAATAATTTACATCAATAAAGTATAAAATTAACAAAATATAAATGTGTAAAGTCAAGGTATAAGTGAGTCCCCTCTAATTATAAATATAGATATAAATATTTGTATTAAATAATAAATATACCAAAAAAATTATCCCTTGTACTCCACCAAAGAAATTCAACGTTGTTACACATCTTTTTAAAATATATTAAGAAAATTAAAAAATATATATATAATAAAAATAATTATAGTAAATAATAATTCTAAATTTATAGCGATAATCAAATAAACTTTTTACAACTCAAAATGGGAAAATATTACTAAAAAGGAAACTTGGACCAGTTAGCCCAGCTGCTACTCCGCCCTGAATTAAGCAAATGGTCTTGCAAGATGGGCCTGATAAAAAGAAGGCCCATTTGACTGTTATAGGGCTCCAAACCTAGATCCGACCCGCTCTGTTTTATCCAAATTGCCGACCCTGAAAAATTGATTAGACAACCAGAAACAAGGGGCAAAAACAAGAGACTCTGAGAAGGGTTGATGCCGTTGCCTTCTTAGGGATTTGAACGATTCAACTACGTTTGGATTTTTCGTCGCTTTTTCCGATCCCAATCATCACCAAAAGGGGAAAAATAAAACTTGGTAATGAATTTTAATTTTTTTTTATTTTTAAATGTAAAAATTCATTGATTTTATCCTCTTTTTCCTTTTCTGATCGTCTATTGTTTTATTTGATTTCTTGAATATGTAATTTTTAAAAAATTCACTCTCAATACTGTTAATTTTTTTTTTTGGGGTTTTAAGTTTTGGTATGATTATTTTATCTGTATCTATATTGATTCTCTTTTGATTTATTAATATCTGGTAATTCAAAGGAATTAATATTTAATTTTATTAGAATTAGAATTTGGTGGAGATGGAGATTTAACTAATTTTAAAAATTTTAGTTTTTAATTTTTTTTTTTTTTAATAATCAGGCCAGTTTTGAATAATTATTGCCTGGATATAGTAATTGAGTAATTTTTATTTGCTAAGGTTTTATGCATCATAGTAATAGTAATAATTTTGCTAGGTACACATCAAAATTGTCTCTTTTCGTTGCTAAATTATTAGTTGTGATCTTTTCCTAGCAAGTTTGATTTTTTATTAATTTTTTTTCTATTTTATATTCATTTTATAACAACCATTGTTTCTTTGATTCCATCTTTGCTTGGTGTGTGGATGTTTGGTGTGTTCAAAGTTTATATTAAATAGGATCCAGTTTGTGAAATTTGAAGTTATAAAAATGAGTGATTTTTGCTTCTATAAGTAAAAATCTTTGTGATCATTTACATTTCCTTGTCTTTTATTGTTGTTGCATGTCGTCAGCAGGAGCAATTTTGATGTCGTACTTTCTCTGTCCCTTTTTGTATTGGTGTGCACTGAATACCATTTAAAAAAAGGTCTAAAGAGTAATGTAGGAAATTAAGTAGTTAATTTTATTTGCTGGGTTAAATTGCACTTAAAGTATCATCATGAAAAGGTGACTTTTCCAGTGGCAACATTTTAATTTGGAGTATAATGTTGCTGAACTGCCTTTGGACAGGCGAATTTTTATTTGCAAATTAATACTTTTATAATGGAGGCTTCATGTGAAGTCATTGCTTGACTTGTATGGTTTATTTGATACAGAAAATGGAGGACATGGACATTGATTCAGTAGGGGACATACCTGACACTCCTGATAGGTCATCTTCACGACGAATGAATGGAGGGGATTCTGTTGACAAAGAAAGCAAGCTATCAGTAGCTGGTCATGTAGGAGGTTCTAATACTGCAGGTGAAGGATCTTTGGATAGGCTAAGGGACAGAGGCAGGCTGGTTGGCGAAAATGGGCACAACAGAAAACATTATATACACCCTCGAAAACTTTCAGTAAGTGTTGATGAAATTGAGCGACAGAAAAACACCATTGTCTTATCCCCACTAGAGAATGCTCAAGAAAATGCTCCTTTATTTAGGAAAACCACAATGGAGAGAAGCAGGAATGCTGTTGGAGAGCAATACATGGATAAAGGGAAAGCTCCTTGCTCTAAGTTGCCTTCTAAATCATCTGGATTCCGAGAAGACCATGCTATTCTAGATTTGACCAAGCAGAACATGCACAGCCAAATACCTGAAATGGCATTTCCACAAGGTGGATCAAAAAATCGCTTAGCTGAAGGAAGAAAAGAAGTTCAGCTACCAAGAAATGGTGGTTCTTACTTATTTAACTCTTCAAGCAATTCTGCAACATCCAGAAATAACTCCAAGGGAAAGGAAAAAATAGATGACATTGGATTTAGAACTGTAGGTTCAGTTATTGGTCGTGGAAAAGGAGTGGGTCTCTCTCATGGTTCCCCACTTGGGATGGAAAAACAGTTGCCTGCATCTCACCATTCTGTTGTCTCACCAAGAGCAGTTTGGAAAAAAAGATTGGTTCGAAATGGCTGCATCTCCCCCCAGAATATAGCTAAACAATTAAATGAACAATCCCAAAACAGCTTTAAATCTGAACAAGATTTTGGGAATGTAGTTAGCAATGGTCCTTGTATGATAGACATTAGCGAGATAATTGCTGAAGATAATAATTATGGTAAAGGAAAAGGAGCTCTACATCCTCACACATCTAAGGAGCATGATATCAATTTATCTGGCAGGTAAAAATTTTAAGTAGCATTCTTCTCCAAGTAGGTTTATTTTCACCTTTGTCTATTGGGTGCTTTCTTTTAACTGTTTATAGGTTTCATTTCTTGTGTTGAAATGTTTTCCAAAGAGATGGGTACAATCTTTGCTAGAAGCTTTGAATAGTGTGTGATAAAAGGACAATGTAGCATCTTCTTAAAATTTATAGTAATGTCAAGAGAATCTTGGTGGATTAAATTTTTTCTGTTAATTCTAACTAGAAGGGTCCATATGACTAAAACGTGTGGTTTTCCTGCTGCAGTCCTATGAGTAATAATGGAGAAGCTACTCGTATTAGTGATTCAAATAGAGATGTATGTTTTGAAGAAAAAGGTGATTGGAGAAGCACACGTAACCCTTCAAAGAATTTAGATTATGCAGCTGGCCATCATTTCTACAGATTTAATAATGTTGGATGCCAAGTGAATCAACAAAATGAAAATAGAGTTGTGAGAGATAATGCTCGTGGAGGAAACAACAGGATTCTATGTGATTTTCCCAAAAATCATGATGCAACCGAAACAACTCCTGTGATCTTCTCAAGATTGAACCAAATTAGTGAACCTTCTCACGCAAGAAACATGCTGTCTAAAAGGCAAATGAAAAATGTATTAACCTCAAGAAATAGTGGTGAAAGTTCCAGGGTCATTCCAATTGACTCAGACATTGTGTTTCTTGGTTCATCTAGGGAATCATCTAGTTCAAGGTCATCCAGAATTTGTACTGTGCAACAGCTTGATGTTTTGGATCTTGACGAGTCATCTGAAATGAGAAGCACAAATGCCAATCATATGGGCTGTGTGAATGATGAGGACTCAAAGGCTAGGGCAAGACAAGTTGAAGCAGATGAAATGTTGGCCCGTGAACTCCAAGAACAATTATACCATGAGGTCCCAATATTTAGCAATGGCGAGGTTGATTCTGTTATTATTTTACGCTTTTGTCCCTTCATTAATGGTGACTTTTTTATTTATATGTATTAGCTTTAAATGTTTGTGAACCTTTTAACAGATTGAAGAAAACATTGCATGGGTACTTCAGCTGGAGGAAGATGAACTCCGTCCTACTGCTATTCAGAGTCTCCACGAGCCAGATCATGTGAGTAAGCTTAAATTTATTTACTTATTTTTTGAGTTGATGATAACCTGAAAGCCTTCATTTAGTGCATGAGATTGAGTGTGCATCATGAAATCTTTTATGATCAAAGGTTTAAAATAGCTTCTAGATATGTGTTTAAACTAGTGGAAACATGCCATACAAGACGCACAAGCCTTTGCTGTGAAAAGTAGAAGAGACTTGGATTCAGTAATTTTGTCCCTAGATCCCAGAATGGTAAATGATCAGGGTTATACACAAACCTTGATGTTAGTACAGGGTTTGTAGTTTTTGCATGTTTGATTGTGATAATTATTAAAAGGCTTAAATGTCAATTTTGAATTTGATTGGTAAATGGCCTTAGCTTTATTTAAAGGCTTTATTTAAACTTGTTTGTTTGAGCTTGTGAACGCATCTAACATGATTATCTTGAAACTCTAGTGCCAGCTAGCTTAGGTGGCAAAGTTGGTTGTATCGAGGACTTAGAATCAAATCCTGCCTTCATGAGGGGCAGAGGGAAGTGGGGAGGGTACCCCCATTGTCTAGCCTGGTCATTGGACGTAAAAAGTTTTGAAATTCAGTGTTATATTCTTACTTTTAGTCTTAGCACCTCTTAGAAAAATACCAAAATGTTTTAGTATATTCAGTGTTATATTCTGTATCCTGCAAATAGAGACAAGTTAGCTTTTATACAGCATACTATATCCCAAAAAAGTTGGACCAAGTGATTAGCTTTGTCAAGACTCTTTGATGAGATACTACTACATTGAAGGAATTAATGAAGCAAGCACTAGAGGAAATATGCTTCTCTATATCTTGGTCATTCAAGTAACCAATTGCTGTAAACCTATTGGTAGTGACAAAAAATTTTCAGCTGTGTGCATGTGACCTGGTGAACGCATGCTTTTATTGGTTTGCACATGGCTTCTTTTACTGCTTGAACTTCTCTAATTCATGGGTTTGTCTTAAAATAAATAAATAATTTGATCTTGATGTGTGGCATAAATTATTTGTTTGCATGTTGAGACTTAAGTGCTTGTTGGCATCATTAAAATGCCTTTTTCACATTGATAAATAATCTTGTTATCTTATCTGTTCTAGTAACAAAACAGTCAACCTGGTGTATGCCAATCATTTTGGTTAGTTTCTAAGTGGCTGTTTGTCACTTGATTTCATGTTTAACGTGGAAAGTTAATGTTTATTGCTAACAGGATGCTCTTGTGCTCATTCCTCTCTATCTGTTTCCTTTCTTCTTTTTTTTTTTTTTTTTTTTTTCTCCCAATTGAGAGGTTCTCTCTCTCTCTTTTCTGATTAATTATGTAAAGTATTTATTTTTTTAATATCATAAGTGACATTGATGCTGTGTATGTTGTTGATGTAATTTCAAGAAGTTTTTAACTTTCTTTTACCCCAATATCCCTTTTTTGTTTGTAGTCCATCTCTATGGCAACCCTATTTAATGTTAAATAAATAATATTATTTGAAAGAATATGAAAGAGATTGCATAAAATGGTAGGAACCCATCCTAACCGAATTAGTATTTAGATGCTTTAGTGGCTATGGTTGTTATTAAAGAAGGCAGAGGTCCAACTTTACGAATACTCTCTTTTTGTTGCTGTAGGGTCAATGACCTTAACTTATTATACTGTTTGATTGGGGCTAATCTTGCTGACTGAAGAGAAGGGATACTATATTTCATGCATGCTATTTGAATTGACTGGAAAGAATTTTTTTTTTTTTTTGTAGAATTGCATATTTGTATTTATCAGACACTAGTATCTTGATGTATACGAGTATTCAATAAAGGTTGTTATATTTTCTAGTATAAAAGAAATGTTTTTATTAATCCTTTTTGGGCCATTTTTGTTTTATATTCTTTGGATGGTATTCATTCTCTCTTAAGCTATATGAAATTGATGCTTTGCTTTTGTATTTATATAAGTTCCTCCTGTAATATTATTCTTTGCCTTTGATGCAGAGAGGCTCAACAAGGCGGTCTCGTGTTCAGCCTTCATCACAGACTTTTCAGAATTCTTCGAATAGGAGAGGAGTACAGGCTCATTTCTCTACTTCTGCTAGAGTATCACGGTCAAGGAGTGGAGTTTTGAATCAACCTCGAATAACACCATCTAGGACTAGGAATTTTCGGTTTCCTCTGGATATGGTAATTTTCCCGCTTTTGTTCCCATCTTGTATTTCTTACTTTCAACAATAACTGATTTATTGCTTTCTGATACAGAGACTTGATATATTGGAAGCCATGGAGGCTGCAATTGGAGATGCTGACGACATGGGAATGGCCAGTCACATCTTCCAAGTTCAACGTGAATTTAATGAGTAAGATTTTTCAATAATTGTTTCTATTAAAACTGGATTTTTGTTGACCATATTAGATGATTGTATCATGCAATTTGGTAGACAATTTATTTAGAGGCTGGTGCCATTTTTTTTTGCAATGGTAAGTGTCTTGGGCTGTGAGATGCAAATGCATTCTTATGGGTTGCCACTTTTTGCTGAAATGTTAGGTGTGTATCCAGGTATGGATCCAGCATTGGTAAGATCAGCCCTGGAAAATAGCACACTCTGGCCTATTAGTTTTTTGGTACACATACATGCAATTTTAAACATAGCCATATTGCTTCCACATGGTATCCTACAAGATGGAAAATAAACAGCGTGGCTATTGTATTGGTGTAAAATAGGTTTATTAGAAACCACGTTTCATGTATAATACAAAATAGTTGGACACCATCCTGTTTTGGTTGAACACATCTATTGCAATATGGAAATAATTGCCCACTTAGAGTGGTTTTTGATTATATGGTTTTAATTGGCCAAAAAAAAAAAAGAAAAGATTATTGAGTTTGAAGTCTTGTAACTATTTAGAGGTTGCAAACATTACACTGATAGTGAACAACTATAAGTTGATTGTGGGTTGATGCATATAAATTGTGGTAATTAGCAAACCAAAAATACTTTACAAACTGGTGAAGTAATAGCATCCCAAAATGGTTCACAGTTCTCTCTATAAGTTGATTTTAACATACCCAATTTCTCCTTTTTAATCAGTTTTGTGGACATTTAAACATTTGTTAGGTTCCAATGTTTCATCCAAGCTTCTTTCTGGTCATGGATAGACCACCCAATTTTGGGTCAACCAGTAGTTACCATATTGCAGTTTGGTTGAAGGAAAATTAAGACGTTGAAATTTTGTAGAATAGCATGTCATTTTGTGTTGGTAGGAGTATCCACTATAGGTAGATAATAACTAATGATCTTTCTATAACATGTAATTTATCCTTTTTTCTACTGTTTTATTGTATTTCTATGTTGCTTAATATTCTATTTACAACTGTTACTTAAAGACATTATATCTTGTCTCCTTTTCATTTTCTTGCAGAAACGATTATGAAATGCTGTTGGCCCTTGATGATAACAATCATCATCATGGTGGTGCATCTATTACTCAGATTAACAGTTTACCACTGTCCAAAGTACAGGTATATGTCTCGGCCATGTGAAAATACACCATAAAGATAGGTGTTTACTTTTTGCTTTCCTCATCCATGTGCGTGCAAAAAGGCTGTCCACTGCTTATGTTTAGCTATCCAGATATAATTTGTTAATTATTGTTTTCGATTTCTTTATTAATGCAGACCGATAAGTTTGAAGAACCTTGTGCTATTTGTCTTGAAACCCCTGCTATTGGAGAGACCATTCGCCATCTTCCTTGTCTACATAAATTTCACAAGGATGTAATGCTTTTTATCTTGGCAATGCCACTTTGTTTTCCCTTTTCAGGGATTGATTTCAAGTTAGGTACCAGAGCAAGTTAACAATTATTTAATTTTTTTTCTTCATTCCCTTTATGTGGCAGTGTATTGATCCATGGCTCAGCCAGAAGACGTTATGCCCAGTTTGCAAGTCATCTATAACTTGAATGGAAGTGTTCCGGTGCATTAGTCATTACGCATGATAGTAAAATGACTTAAGCAAACATTATCAGGAATAGGTATGTATTTCTTTCTAATTGACTCCCGTGAAAATTTTTGTTACAGAAACATGCAGGCTTCTGGTGTTACTCCACCCTTCTCAACTTAATTTGAATTCTGAAAAAATCGCCTCTGTTTTCAGGGTCCAGCAAAAGATGATTTGTTGGCATAATTCATAAACTGAAATTTTTCTTTGGATGTCATCTTTTGCCTTTGCCTGCAGATTTGACATATAATGAACCAAGCGCTATCACACAACGAGGGGAATGGATCTGAAAGCTTGATGAGGGAATAAAGTCCCTCCTTGTCACGAGTAGAGCAGACAATCCTTTAAAATGTTAAATCTTGTCAGTGTAAGCTATGGGGAAGAATTACTTTCTAGAAAGTAAGGGCTTGGAATTCAGCATATGAACGATCCTGTTATTTTGTTGAAAGCAGTTGGTATTGTTGGAAAATGGTGAACAGTCCAGCCTAATTAATTTTCACCATTCTTCCCCTATCATAGGTGTAACGACAGCCGTTTGCGTTTGAATCGTTCGTGTTGCTTCACTTTTTCGTTTTTTTTGCTTTTTTTGTTTTTTTAAATTCAGACTATTTGAATTCAGAATAAACCACACTTATCCCGTCACCGTCTCCCCTTGAAACAATTCCTTTCTACGTGCCTGTCCAATTGCTTTTTATAATTATAAGTTTCTTTTCTCAGAGGTAGAATGGTAATTTTCTCAAGGTATTTGCGAAGCTTGATGAATTGACAATGGTTGTTAATACGACAAAATTGGCCGTGTCAAAACAAATCAATTCGATACGGTCAAAATTTGTAGGCCGACTTCGAATAAATTCAGTTCTCAGAACATCAACTTCTTTTATATATATATATATATATGTATGCGTATAGTAGTTGTTATGACGGAACGGAATCTACCTCGTTGTGGGGCTAAAGAAAGAGATATTTAACTATTAACATGTATACGAGATATAGCAGAGAATTAATTTTATGATAATGTCAAAGATACAGCCTGAACTCTCTTTCAGGTTTCTGTCCAAAACACCAACTAACTTATTACGTTGCTTTATTAAAATGTCCAGCCCAGTTTTAGAACAATTTGACAAGAAATCATAGCAGCTAAGAAAAGGAATTTTATCGGGCATCCTTGGATAAGAGGTTATTGGTTTCGACTATCCGGGCATTGCAAAGCTCATCGGTACAATCACCCCTTTCGAAAACAGCTGCTGCCCCCATCCCTGTGCCTGCATTTCAGCAGTGAAATCTGAGGTCATCAACTCTGGCTAGTATACAACAGAAGGGAGGGGGGAAAGAGAGATAAAGAAAGAGTACCTATGCACATTGAAATCACTCCAAAGCGGCAGTCTTTGCCACGCCGCTTCATTTCGTGCAGAAGCGTAGCAACACAGCGAGCACCTTCAACAAGCACAAAAGTGTGCACATTAACATGTGGTGAACAGTGTCGCATCCTTATAATGCTTTAATTCTAATGATAATGCATACACAAGACATTATATTATAAGGAGAACCTACAATTTCTTGCATTATAGTTACATGTGCCATTTTATGCTTAACACATACTCAGATTCACATGGATGTAGTTGTATGAGTAGAGCATCAACGAGTAACCATTTTGAGCATAGATAATTCCAATAATTACAAATATAAACAACAAAATTATGCAAACTATGTGTTAGAAATACCTGTTGCACCCAATGGATGTCCAATTGCCATTGCACCTCCATTAACATTAATCTTTTGCGGGTCAAGTTCCAACTTCTTACGGCAATATACAAACTGGGATGCAAATGCCTGCAACAGAGGAAGATATTAGAGACCTTTATGTATTATAATTCTCTTTAACTAAATAAGTCAAAGCTAAACCATAAACTACATTGTACCTCATTTATCTCAAAAAGATCAACATCATCAAGTTCCAGACCAGCAGCTTTAACTGCTGCCGGAATTGCCACAGCTGGGCCAACACCCATGATGGCAGGATCCACACCAACTGCAGCAAAAGTCCTGGAAGATCAACAAGCACTTCCTTAAATTAATAGAAAACTTAATGATTCTCATTAGTTTAAAGAAAGAGAGGGTCTGGACTTTGTTTCCTATTAAACTGAGTTGATGCTCCTTCGAAATAAAATACAAGCAGGAAAAAGAAAAATCTCCTAGGATATGTGGAATGCAAAATGGACATGACCTAAACTTAAAACAAACAACTGCTGCACGCTATCACTGTATTTGAGACCCAATCATGCATGCTTGACTAATGAAGCAGTTTAATACAAAACTTAAAAAGAACATAACTGCTGCAAGCTATCACTGTATTTGAAACCCAATCATGCATGCTTGACTAATGAGGGAGTTTAATACAATGAGTTTACTGATAAAGAAATAGAAATTGAACAATTTCATATAGATAACTAAAGACAAAATAAAAAAAAAAAAAAAAACTGATAAAAGTGTGAAAGTAGATGGTCAGATGCTCTTTAGAAACCACATAAATAAGAAAATTAAAGCTTAGAATACAGCCCTCACAACTGATAGTCAAAATGACAAGAAATTTCTAGTACACTTAGAAAACCCATAAGACAACAGATGTAACAGAGCAGAGAGTATTGGGTTCATATAAGCTACATAAACGTCATGAGGTTCCTGCCAACAGTAAACCCATAAGACAACAGATGTAACAGAGCAGAGAGTATTGGGTTACTGCTAACAGTTTCATTTTACCCGATATAACAGAAGGATATGAAACCAGACATTCCACACCTGAATACACCGAGAATCGGTAGCCCTTTGCGCATGGCAACACTTCTTTTCATGAGCAGAGCAGCCCCAGCGCCGTCAGTCACTTGACTAGAATTTCCTACAATACAAACAGCATACAAATAAATACGCTGAAACCAACAGAGCAGTATAGTCTTCCAGAAAGTATACGGTGCATTATCCAATACCAGCAGTGGTGCTCCCATCTTTCTTGAACACAGGCTTCAATTTTGCTAGATCTGACAATGAAGTGTTAGGTCGGATTCCATCATCAACAGAGATTGTGACAGGTTTCTCATCACCAGTCTTTGGATCAACAATCTTCAAATATTAAATATTACAATCCAAACATCAATAAATTGGCACAAAGCATTCTGTGAAAGTATATCAAACATAGATTATAAGATGAAAAGAAACAGTAGCTACCTTGGTGGCCACAGGGATTATTTCATCTTTAAATTTACCAGAAGCTGTAGCAGCAGCTGCTTTCCTGTGAGATCCAACCTGACAACCAGAATTTAAGAAAATCAATATATATATATATATATATATATATATATAGAGAGAGAGAGAGAGAGAGAAAGAGAGAGAGAGGAAGAAATTATTTGCAACACCATACTGCACGAGAATCATTCAACTTACTGCTGCCTCATCCTGTTCCTGCCTTGTCACACCAAAGCGATGAGCAACATTCTCTGATGTAACACCCATAGGAAGGAGACAATTCTGAGCTTGCTCCATTTGCTTGACCTGCCAAAATCAGCAAAAGATCATGTCAGGGCTAAAATTATTGTTTGGCTATAGGCAGAATGATAAACAACCGAAAGCACACATAAAGAAAGAGAGAGAGAGAGAGAGAGATAGAGGACCCTAGGGTTAACTGATCCTTCCCATGCCATTGGGTTAGTGGTCATTGATTCCAACCCAGCCCCAATCCCTACAATAAAAGTAGTTATTACTAAAAATAGAAATGCTGCATTCTATAGAGATATAACAAAATATCATCATAAACACAGGCTTCCTCTTACCAATGTCATAAAACCCTGCCTTTATTGCAGCGGCCACATCAGCAACTGCCTGAAGCCCAGATGAGCATTGCCTGTTCACAGTTCTAATGGGCACAGCTTCTGTATCACCACAAAATTTGCTTCAGTCAACCAACAAAACAATAACGAAATAAAAATCCATCAAAACACACAATCAAAGGTAAATATGTATACCAGGGAAGCCAGCATAGAATGCAGCCATCCTACATTCACTCGCTCGTTGAGATGCCGGTGCCAAGACCGTTCCCACAACAATATCCCCAACTTCACTAGGATTCAAATTGGTTTTCTCTATCAATGCCTAAACCCGACATAACCACAACAAAATAAAAAAAAAAAACCAAAAAATAAGATAAAAATGAAACCAAAATATAGATTAAGACAAACCCTTAAAACAGGAGCAAGCAAATCATCGGGATAAGTATCCTTGAAACCGCCTCGATTTGATTTGCAAAGGGCAGTCCTATATGCTCTGTAGAATTAAGAATTCCATAATCAAAACCAGAAATTCCAAATAATCTTTTCTTTAGTTGAAAATTTTCCAAATAATCTTAATTATCAGACAAAAAAATGTAAAAATTATTAATTAACCAATTTAAGAGAGTTACTTACGCTACTATCACCACATCATCTCCAAATACATTAGTTCTCTGATAAGCAGCGCTATCTCCAGCTAAACAAGCCGATGCCTGAGGGATTTTTATCAAATTTTTAATTCGTTAGAATAAAAGAAATCTTTTGACAGAAAATAATGAATAATCAAAATTAAAGTCCTAAATAAAAATATTTAAGCAATTCTTAAACTGGATCAAATGTTTTTTTTTCTCTAGATAGCATTTATAGCAAATAAAATTATAAAAATTCGAATTTGAGATTCAAAGAACAGAAATGAAAAAGATCCAAAGAATCAAAGTTAATAGATTTAGTTGAGAATAGTAAAATGTAGATTTACAGAGAGGGAAGAGTTGTAATTTTTCTCGGACGAATAAGAAGAAGAGAGTGCAGGATTGAGGTGCTGGAGCAAAATTTTCTGGCGATTGATCGCTTTCTCCATTGTTTTCAGTCTCTAAAAAGAAAAGAAAAAAAAATTAAGATTAAATAGAGAGAGTGTATGTTTCTGTTTGGCGTCCGAGAAAGAAAAGAAATATTGGGATGGGATTTTCTTTTCCTCTCGGTAAGTTTGGTTTCTACAGGATATAGAAAAAAAAGACGACACAAATGTAAAAGTCAGATATTTACATGGGAGAAGTAGCGAGAGAAAAAAGATAGTATTTGTCTTCAGCTTTTTGACCTAATAATAAAAAAAACTTTAAGAAACGTCAAGATTGAAGTTCGACTTCAGCATCTCCTTTGTTATAGAGTTCTACCCTTTTTAAGAAAAGTTAACGTTAGAAAAAACTTTTTGGTAATGGTAAAGGTCAAACTTTAAATTTTAAAAAATTTTAATATAATTGTTTAAATTATAAATCGATTAATTAATAAAATATTTAAAAATTTATTTGTTTATTTATCAGTTGAAATTAATTGTTTTTTTATAAGAAAATGCTTTCATTAAGCTACAATAATGTCGTTATTGCCGATAGTTTTCAGGTACATAATCCCAAACAATCTTGTGCCTGACATCACAAACTACTTTTGCTATGTTATGGGATAAAGAATTTGGCAGCCTATTAACATGGTCGAAATGACAAACTTCATACTTGAAAGCTACTTATGTAACGTTC